AGCAAGAAGATCAGCAAAAAAAGACAACAGTCAAAATAAACTACCTGATGAAGTAAGCAATTTTCTCATAAATATTTTCCAGGATAAAAGCCTCCGTCAGTTTGTTACTCTGCAGTATCAATTTGTTTCTTACTGTGTCGTGTACTAGCATTCATTGCTTTATCATACTGTCTAATTCTTCAATCCATAATTATTATTTAAGGTCACATTAGTAGAATTGTAGCCAAGACAAACCACATTGTTGGTATTATTCATGAGAGTTTGAAATTTATCTCTGTGAGCTGCTCTCAAAAATATACAAGTCAATATAGTTCCTTAGGAACCCCATCCCTAACTTGAACCCTGAACCTGACCCTAAAACTCCATCCCCCCAATGTAATAGTAAATACACTTTCGTGTAACATTTCAATTCCAAACATAGTTACTTAAAACTACCAAGTAGCATTGAGCGCAGATTCTTTCTTTCACATTTACCTTCCTCTTGCCAGCCATCTCAAGATCCACCCGCTGCTGCAGATACTAGTTCAGCTGAGAAAATAGAACCTGTTCCACCTAAAGATGGAGCTTACCAGGAGAGCTCAGCACCAAAACCTGTAGCTACACCGACCAGAAGAAGAAGGACGGCAGCCGTACCAAATCTAGGAAAACCAAGAGTAAGGCAGAGAGCGGAAAAACCTCTAACTGCTGACAAAGAAGAGAAAAATTGCCATGAGAGTAATAGCTTACAAGATCCCCCTCCAGTAACTAGATTAGCGAAGACAATTGTGAGGTACATGTATATCACAGGGTAATATTTCTGCTGATTATTGGTAACCATTGGCAACTGTAGCTGCAAATGTGCATCCACAAACCCACTTGAACATCATGCCTAATTAGTGTAAAATGATATTTCAATGCTCAAAGTTGGTCATATAATCAAAAATATTTTTGATCATACTGAGATTGTATAAATGTTTTGTACTCACAGGCCATCAGAGAAAACGAGTACAACTAAAGCTGTCCGATCAGCAAGTATAGAAAAATTAGTAGTGCCGTCCAGTACATCATCTATGCAGGTGGGTAGCATGAGACCACCGTCGACACCAACAAGAGGAGAGAGACACAGTGAGAAGCGGATCGTCACGCCGATTATCCATGATAGAAGAATTCGAGACATGAGGGACATTGAAAAAGAACAGGAGGTATGGAATTTTAGCTCTTTAATGATTGATTGTAAGCTAATGCTACAGTTGTTAAAATACTGAAAAATATCTAAGTAAAGCTAGCTATGCATTCATTCCTGGTCTATGTCTGTGTCCATGTCACATGATGGATCAATGAATGATTTGGATTGTCTTTTTTTACGTAAGCGTGTTAGACTTGATAGCTAGCTTAAATTAACTTAGTGTGTATATCAGCATAATGTTAATATTAAATGAGTGTCAGATTTCCACGGGATGATTGGCTCTCTCATCATCTCCAGTCTGTGAGTAATCTTGTCACTGATCTGCTGAATGACAATATAATGGCAATTGAATTGAAAGTTAAATTTGGATTGATTGTGATGCAATGTAATTTAACATGATGGCATACCACATTGGCCAATTGTTTGATTTGTTTTGATTTTTTGTAGACACCAGCAAAAAGAAGAAAGCGTTACGTTAAATCGCAGTGTCCTGACAGAAACAAGATGACAATGTCTGATCTAATCTACTATAATCCCAAAAATAATCCCATGAAGTAAGTTTCTACAATGTGGAAGAGAAGAATCTACCCCTTCACTGGGGATTGGG